AAATAAAAAAAAAAAAAAAAAATCGTGTTTGGCCGTTGCTGCCGTGTCTCCCGTGCAGGCGGAGGCTCGCAGCCCGCACCGCCTGCCGCCGGTGCCCGTTGTGGTCTGCACGGCGGGCCGGTGCCTCTCCCGCCGCACGGTCGGGTCCGGTACCGGGGCTGTGCTGCCCCTTCTCTTCCGAGCCGGGTCCCGGCAGCCGAGCCGCCCTACGGGCTGCAGGCGGTGTACCCTCGGCAGCCGCGTCCTTTAAGCACGGTGTCGAGGCTTGCCAAAAAGGAATCCTTCCTCCCGGAGCTCAGCTGGCTCCTTCGGGGATGGTCGGTGTTATCAGGGTACAGCTGCCCTTGGTCAGGGGCTGGGGCAGCGAGGGGCAGGCGCTCTCGGAGGCTGCGGTTCCGTTAGCGCAGACCGAGAAGGGAAAAGACAAATTGCAACCGGAGGAAGTTACCCATCACGGACATGGGCAGCAGAGCTGGCGTCGAGTCACCCGTGTGGGAGCGGGAAGGCCCGTCGGGTAAGCAATGAACACCCCCCTTTTGTGCTAAGAGTGGAGAACTAACCCTTTAAGAGTTTTAAAAGAGAGGCGCACGCCTCTGGAAGGCATTACTAATGGGAACGGCGGCACGCAGCTCGACGACACGCTGTCATCCTGCGAGGCGCCTAGGAGCGCGGTACGGGTTTGCCTCGTGCGGCTCCTGAACCACGCGCGCCGGCCGTGGGTGAAAGCGCCTGCTCCTCAAAGGTTCCTCGCAGGGCATCGCCCTGCCCGAAAGAGCAATCCTGGATTTTCAGCTGTTGGGATTAAGCGCACGACGCAAGGAGCTGCCCGTGACGAGGTGCCGGTAATTCTCATTGTTCGGTGGTGGGCTGTTTGTGTCTCGTGGCGGGAGGATTAGGCCTCGCGGCACGTTTCTCCGAAGGAGGCATGGAGCACGGCAGCTTAGTTTAACAACAGATGCGAGCTAAGCAGCTGCTGCTAGGATCTGGATTTATTGTCTAGGTATGCGGTAACAGAGCCAAAGAGAAGCTTTGTTGCGTCAAACACAGTTGTGAAGGGAGTGAGATTCTTCAGACGCAGGGTGCTATGGGTGAGGTGTGCCCTGTGCCCTAACAGATATGTCTTTTCCCCTCCCTTTCCTCCCCGCTCCTCAAGTCGAGGGATTACAGTTGGGTCTTGGGCAGAGAGTCACAGTTTTGGTTCTCATATCACAGGTAAAGCGTTCTGCCATATCGTGGATTTGCTTAGTGTTTCTGTGGGCTAAGGAAACGAGTTTTTAAAGCGTGTGTTATTCAGCAGTGTCTATGAAAGCGTGTGTTTTTCTGAGTGATGCAGAAGCAGGGTGCTCTTTGGGGGAGAGTAGTCTGGCTGGGTGGTTTTGCACATACCCAAAGGAAGTTAGAAGTACGACAGAAATCAGGGTTTTTGTTGGGGGGGGGGGATGGGGGTTGGTTTATTGGTGTTATTCCTAAAACATCCATCTGGCATCCTTGTGGCCAGAATCTTTTATTGGTGGTGCACACTGTATGTCTTCTGTTAAATAATGGTAATACTGACAGTAAAGGGCTTTTATCTTTGGTTTCTATACATCAGTGCTTTTCGTAAGTGGCCCCATCGTGCTGCATTGTGAACTAGCCCCTATTAGTGTAATTTCTTTTCTTGAAAAGTTCATCTGAGCTTAAGGGGAGATCTTGAGGGACCCTTAAGGAAGTAACAAAAGTGAGGCTTTACAATAATTTGAAAATACGTTTAGATGTTTTGGGTTTGTTTTCACAAATGGAGGAGAGAGGCGAGAAAGGGAAGTAGAACACTCTGCTTTGCTCCCACTGAAATAATGAGGATTTTTTTCCATTGACTTCATCTGGCACAGAATAGAGCCTAAGGCCTCAGCAATATAGCAGAAGTTGCATCTATGTAATCAAACTTGAAATCGCTTTTTTTTCCCCTATTGACTAAGAGAGACTGAATGTTGCTTGTTTTGTGGGGGATTTTTTTTTTTTTTTTTTTTTGCAGTGGGGGAATATCTCTAGCATATTAGAAGAATTGGATTCTTTGTACTATGGCTGAGATTAAGTCTCTGTATAGAGGCCATCGGATCAAAGCTGACCATTTAAATCTCTGGGATAGTCTGTATCCTGCTGTGCAAAAGTCCTGACATGCGTGCTGTGTATATGCATGGCAGCTTTTGTGTTGGGCTTTGCATTCCAGCAAAATCTTGACAAAACTGAATAGTCACAGAGAACAAAGTTGCAAGTTTGTTGTTTTTTTAAATAGTATAATGTATCAATACTGTCAGTATATATATATTTTTTTTTTCATCCAAGTGTTTTATAAAAGTTTTGCTCCTACAGTGAGGTGAAAACTAGTACTGTATTGTTTAGGGTTTGTTAACTTACACCAGTATACCTTTCCCATATTGATAAAATGGAAACCTTTAATTTTTAATTAAATGTTGATATAGTTGTTTTGGTTCTAGAAGAGGTGTTCACATAGGAAGTTTCCCTGACCTTTTAGTTAAGTTGACATAACTGCTAAAACTTTTCCCTTCTACAAAAAGAGGTGTCCTAAGCGAACGGGAGGAAGAAAAGCCTTTCTTCTGTTTGGAGAGAGCAACACACCGCCTTTTCTGTTTTAAGGGGTTCCTCTTCAAAGTTATTAAAAGCCTTTAGTGATGTAGCTCCCCACACACGCCTTTTGCTCTCTCTTTTTACTGTTATTTCTCTCAGCTTGGACAGTAAGCAGTGTCTGATTGGTTTTACTAACTTTTCAAACTTTTAACTGTTTTCAATCTAGCTTGGACTGGGAACTTAAATTAAGAGCGCAGTGATGTTTTGTGAGCTGGGTGAACTGGAAGCAAGGTGGGTTGCTACCCCTGAGAGGGACAGGTCAGCTCCCAGCTCTGCCGTGGTGGTGGGATGTGGGGTCAGCCTCCTGAACCAGCAACAAAACAACAGAGGGAGGAATTTTCTGCCAACTTAGTGGCTTGTGCTACTTGCAGAGGGTGCTAGGCAAGTGCCAGAGCAGGAGCGAGAGAAACTTTTGGGAGCACGTGTGGGAAGGGTGAAGGAAGGAATCTTGGCTCTTGGATGAGTTCAGGTATATCACCATTATTTTCTCCTGTACCCCTTCTTTCTAGGTGCATTTCCGTACTCACTGCAACAAGTGCAGGAGATGGGTAATAAACCTGTACAGCCTTACTTCGTTACTTTGAGGAACATTCGCTTAGCTCTTTTTTTTCCTTCCTCTTTGTCTTGCCTTTTTTTTTTAAATGAAATTTTACTTTGAATAGACAAAAGTTTGGAAATATATCCTGACAAAGTATCCTGTGCTGTCTGGCATTCTTCTGCCAGTCATTCTTGTATTAAAAGGCTAGGGCAGGTCATGCACCTCACAGGAGAGGACTTCTTAACCAGGTGCTGCCCCACATCCTTACCATGCCCTGTCTGTGATGTCCCCGAGGGGCTGTGAAGCATCCCAAGGAAGCAGTAGCTTACGGCGATGCGAGAAGAACACGTGGGTGTGCATGTGCCCTCTGGGTACCCTTGTCCTCGCAGAACCCTGTGGACCTGTTGCAATCAGGGCATGAATAGATGGATTTCTGAAGCCACATGGGTGGTTGGCTTTTCCCACTCCTGTCTTAATAGCTTGTTTTCTCTCTGAGCGTAGGACTCAAGGTTTGGTAATACTGAAGTGCCTCTTGCTGCCTGCGTCAGCCTCGGCTGTAATCACTCCCTGTCACATTGGAGATTGTTTCTGCCTTTCCATATGTGTGTTGAACCTTTTCAGTTTTGCGCAAATTTGGTCAGGGAAGAGCTTGACCCAAAGCCTGTAGAAGTGGATGTCTGAGTTGTCTCATCTCTCATAGGCTTTGTATGCCTCACCAAGAGACTTGGGATCAGAGGTCAGTTTTTATTTAGAAACGTGGAAGAATGTAAATATACACTAGCTTTTATTTGGACATGAGTTTTCATGCAAAATTTATATCTGATAAAATGTCACGATGGGAGCTCGTTACTCCTGTGTCTGGTGTATCGCTGTGCTTAAAGCAGCCCTGCTGAGCTTGAGCATCTTCCTTCTGCAGTTGGAGCAGTCCTGCTAACGCGGTGCTAAGGACTCCTAAGTTCTCACAGGTAAACTAGACAATTGTTTAAAACACTCCTTCCATTTTCTTTTGGCTTTGAAGAAGCAGATGGAGATGCACTAGGAGCCTTATTATGCTTTAACTTAATCAGAGTTGGCCGATTGTATTCTGTAAAATACAGACCCAGGCAGATGAAGATCCAAGTGTGTCCTCACTCCGCTTTCCCCATATGCAACAGCTGTAATGGGGAAAACTGATACAGCTAGGAGAGGGATCGGGATGGGGGGATGTAGCGGGAACACATGAGAAGGGCACTGGAGAGCTGCATTTAAAATATGAAATAGCAAGACCGACATGTTGAAAGGGCATAGTATTATGGTGTGTTACACAAGTACAGACTTCAGTTGTACTGAATCTCTGATCGCTGTTCCTGTCAAATGTTTTGGTGTGGATTACTGGGAGCTACTGCATTTCAAGCATCTACGTGATCAGAACAGGTTTGCAATTTTATATAATGTTTAATGTGTTCTTTTGCTCTTTGTCTGGATTTTATTTCAGGGCATCTAGATGACGATGGGTTGCCACATGGATTCTGTACAGTCACCTATTCATCGACAGACAGATTTGAGGGAAACTTTGTGCATGGAGAGAAAAATGGCCGCGGCAAGTTCTTCTTTTTTGATGGAAGGTAGATACTGACTCTTCAATTTTTCTTCTATATTCTGCCTCCCTGCTTGCAGTGATACAAAACTAATCTACATTGATTGTATGCTGCTGAGTTTCTGGATAAGCTTTCTCATTAAAAACTGTAGCTGGAAGGTTTTCTCTACTGCTGCTGTAGCCATACCTTTGGGGGGCTTTGTGTGTAACGTGATGCCTAGAGTTGTTTCCTGGTGGGAAAATGCAGCGGTGTGAGCTCTTTTAGCACTGTAGAAGTTATGAACTAATTGGAGACCATAAGAACTGGGAGGTGGTCAGAGCTATTGGAAACCACGCTGACAGCAACTTGGACTACAAAGTTCAAGTGCATAACTGCAGGTGGAATTCTTTGTTGGTCTTATAGGCCTATACAGAGACTGCAGCTGGACTGGGAGCTCCCTGCGCCAGACCTCACGCACAGACGTAGGACCTTGACAGAGAGGCTTACCCTCTGCTTGGTCTTGAAAATTTAGCGGTTAAAGGACTGAGTTAAATACAGGTTTTGTTCCCAAGTCTACCTAATCCTCTGCAAGTTGCTTGTGGCCCAATTTTAATTTCAGAAAAGCCCCTATAATTTCCCCTCTCTTCACTGGGAATTGAGACAGTGAAATTGGCCTAATGTCTGCCTAAGCATGTATTTTCTTCTCAGGTCTTCATTATGAACACCTTGTACATCTTCCCCCAACTGCAGCATTTCTCTCTGCAGTTGCTCAGAACTTCCTCCAAAGGAGCAGCAGATGTATAAAATGACACGATTCTTCATGGTTTTGCAGCTGTCGGTGGCACTATGAATAGCAGCCGTTAAACTGACAGTCATGCCGGGTCTACTCTCCTCCTGCTCAGCGAACTTCTGAGCAGGAGCGGAGGTATTGTGCTGTCTCAGTGAGTCAGCTCCTTGTCTGCACTTGGCTTTGCAATTGCTTCATACTGGGGATCATGGGGTTTTTTTCATGAGAAAGATAATATATTTATTCAGTTATGCAGAAACTGATCAGGCCTCCAAGCTTGGATGAAGAAAAATCCCCACTGTTGTTGGTAATGGGCTTATTAAATCTTGTATGAGTAACTGAAAATCAGTACTGCCCAGCAGCTGACCTCTCTAAAATAGCCTTATTTTTTTAAGTTGGCAGACAGCATCTCTGTGGACACATGTACATAACACTTCTGTGCTTGTTGATGATCTCAGCAGAGCAGTTGCTGATTGTACAGTCAGAGAAACTGACCCACTATTTTGTTTGTAGGGTTGCTCCTCCAAGTAATCCAGGGTACAGGCAGTGCTCTGTGGGAAAACTCAGGCTGCTGCTGAGCCTCTTCTGTACCGCTTCAGTGTTGCCAACTCTTCTGGTTTTGGTTTGTTTTTTTTTTTTTAATTTTCATAACCCTTAAAAAATGGAACAGTTGGCTGCTGTATGACTTCAGGGTCTAGCAGAATGAAAATATACACAAATAGTCAGTAATGTGGTTTTGGAAAATGGAATATTTTTATAACCTGCCCTAAGTTTATTTTAATTGAGCTAAAGCAGCCTTAACAGAGCAGTGACTAGTTACTAAAGATACTGCAATTTACCTAGCTACTCCCAGCTAGCAAGAGTAAGCTGCTCTCTGAAGTGGATCGTTCAGATGTCATGACGTGTTGCAGGAAGAATGACCTGGCATAAAACAGGATGTGCTGTTTCCATTAACTGTGCCATGGGCAAGGCTGAGTGTTTATACAAAGAGAAATTTCTCAAAACACCTCTCCCCTTACAGTATTGTGTGGAAGTTAGCTGGTTTCAGCATTCCCGGATCTGTTTCCCTCGCAGGCTGCTGGTAAAGGCTGACAGCTGAACTGCTGTGGGTCTGTTATTTGGGAATAGTTGAGTCCTGTAAGACGCTGGACTGGCAGCGATGTAGGCATTCTCATTTTTTGAGTGTTGGGAAACAGGGTTGGCTGCCTTGTTTGCCTCAGTGAAAACTTTTCACTTTATTGGAATAGCTGCCCCCTTCCCGTTGATTATTTAAGGGAGTGGAAACCTGGAATGAAATATCAGTTGTCTTTTCCTCCCCCTTCAAAAATGCAACGAAACCCAACATACTATTTCGGAGAGAGAAGTTTCTCTGGCATACTCCCTGTTTTGCATTGTGTACTTGAGCTTTCATTGGTGCTAATGCTCACGGGAGTACGTTTTACAAAACACTTTGCGCAATAACTGTGAGCAGGAGAGCTGTGTTTGGCACAGAGCTGGAGCTGCTGTTCTCCCTTAACTAGAAACGCTTGTAAACTGACATCTGCCAGAACACAGTAGAGAACGGTATTATTTTTAAGAATAAGTTTTCAATGTTCCCATATAGAGGGAAAAGTGGGAGATCAGGGAGTGGGTGATGAATGGATCAGGGTCTATCAAGGTAACTTCATACCTGGAAGCATATTGCAGTAAGTATTCACCCTCCCAGCCCCCCAACTCTTATCACTGATTTATTTTTTAGGTAATGGGTATCCTAGATCCCTTCTAGGCCTGGTGGATAATGGGAAGACAGTACATCTGATAAATCTTGACTTTAGTAAAACTTTACATTATCACAAATATGATAATTTGAGAAGCAAACTGGAGAAATATAGGCTAGCTCAGAGTTTGTATTAACAATATTTTGTTTATGCAAGACACAGCTTATTTATTCCTCCTTGCGCTGGTCAGGTCTTAGTTGCAAGTATTGTGTCTGGCTGCAGACACCATACTTTGAGAGCTTAAAAAGAGAGAGGGAGGAGCGGGGTGGAAATAACTCAAAAACTGTGAAAAGAATAGAAGTCTTAGAGAACCTGACTTTTTAGGCAAGGTTGAAAGACGTGGAATTCTTTCTGTAGGTGTTTTTCTTTTGATTTCTGTAGATGATGTGAGAGTAGAAAGAGATGGATCTTTTGGACATTGTTTGGAGCTTAATACAGTGAAAGAAAACCTAAAGATTTGAGTTACAGTAAAAGAAAAGGTATTTTTTTCCAGTGCATAATTTAGCAACTGTTAACTTCAACTAATACCATTAAAGGTGACAAGGTTGTTTGGTCTGTTTCATTAGATAAACTGGGGGTGGCAGCTGCTTTTAAAGAGCAGTCCTACATGTGGACTCTGTGTGTGTTGCCAGCTACAATGAAATTCAAATCTGGTGATCTGTAATAAACTAGAGGAGAAAGTGGTGTCATTTATAGTTGAGTAAGTGTACAGATTTCTGGTGGTTCCCTCATCTGCTCTGCTCCTTCCCTGTGCCGTGGTGCCGTAGCTGTCTGTACAGCTCTGTAGCAACCTGGATCAAGAAATTCATCCAACTGAAAAGTAAAACAGCTTTCCTGCCCCTTCCGGCTCTACATCTGGTTTGCATTGAGGTTTTTAATGTAGTGTATTTTCCCATGGAAGCCTCAGCCAGCTTGCCAAAGCTATGTAAAAACAGAGAGTGAAGCTTTAGAAACCAGAAAGTCAATTCTGAGAAAACATTCCTTCCGCAGCTCTTGAAAATCTGTTTTGTAAAGTTTTGTAAAACACGTAGAGTTGTGTGCTCCTAGATGCTGTTTGGGCTTATACCTTAGACATCTGCATCAGAAAAAGAATTATGCAGTGAAAGTATGTGTACTGCAGCTGTCTGTTAGCTACGTATGCTGGGGTAAAAGCTAAACAGTTTGTATTTCCTTATGCTAGTTCTAACCTGAGAAAGAAATAACTGAGTAGATCTTCTTTTACAGTTATCCTTTAATTCTTTGTAGTTTCTCTCAGCAGCCTTTTTTTTTAAGAAAGGAAGCGAAGCAGATCGCGAGATATTATTGCGTTCCTTCTAAGGGGTTTGCAAGACAAAACTGAAGTGAAATGTTTCTTTGTTCAAATCCAAGTGCAGCACTAGTTCTGTTTGACAGGCCATGTTCCATTTTAATAGAAATACATGAAAAATGACAGAGCTTTTAGCAAATTCGGTACGGATTGCTGCTAAGTGTATTGCTAGGGAGCCAATGCTGAACGGGTAGCAGGTTGCGGTTTGTGCCCTGTTGTGGTTCACCCGTATGGCGGTTCAATTTCATCTCACCAGAGGGATGTCAGTAAAGGTCCAAACTGGTAGGAGGTAGAAAATCCTAACGTGGGAGTAGCCTGCTTGAGCAATAATTTCTTCCTTGACCGTGAACGTCCATTCGCTGCTGTATTTGCTATCCCAGCCTATAAAAAAAGCTCAGCAGTGTAATTTAGATGAATAATGCTGTGCCCATGCAGCGCACCCTGGTGAAAGGACAGCGTAAGTTGTTCTCTGCTTTGGAGGTCCGTAGGAAGAAGTTTGTGTTTTTCATCTTGTCTTTCCAGAGAAGTCAGGTTTACCTTCCTACTCCCCATTCCCTTGTGCCCCTCAAATTTGGTTGAAACTAGCAAGCGCATCAGGGTTTCAGACATGGGGGATAGTGATGCCTGGAGGTGGACACGGAGGAGAGATGCTGGAAGCGATGTCCCAGCAACTAAGCCCTGGCAGCTGCCACCGAGCCTTCCAGCAAACCTTTCAGTCTGCCCCACGACAGCCTGGGCTCTTGGGGAGAGGCCACCGAGAAAATGAAGAAAAACTGTGGTTGTTGCAGTGGTGGTATACGTTTTGGGGAGGGTTGTAGGGTACCCAGCAACAGCAAGCCAGGCATCAACAGTTACCTCCTCCTAGGATCTGACTTTCTTGAAGGTTTTCCCTCAGCCCCTCTGTACCAATAATATGTAGAATGGCAAGCAGAAGAGCAGGGTTGTGCTGTGCCTCTTGCCAAGACTTTGGGCTCACCCCTTAGAGAGGTGAATAGTCTTCCACTGCTGTTTTCTTTCTCTCTTTACCAGCACCCTGGAAGGGTACTATGTTGATGATGCCCTGCAAGGCCAGGGAATCTACACTTACGAGGATGGAGTGGTCCTTCATGGCACGTATGTGGATGGAGAGCTGAATGGACCAGCCCAGGAGTATGACAGTGATGGGCGGCTGATATTCAAAGGCCAGTATAAAGACAACATTCGACATGGAGTTTGTTGGATTTATTACCCGGTAAGCTCAACCACCTGCTGTCTTCATTGCAGAATAGTACCATTATGTAGCTTTCTTTTTTTCCCCAGCTGAAACAAATATCCACCATGACCCAGTTATCCAGAAATCAACACACAAAAATCTGGGTGGAAGATCTGTGCATTCCGGTTTTGGATAACCCAACATACAGTTAAACCTTTTCAGTGTTGAGTGTTTGCCCAGTAGGCAGGATTCAGCAAGACTGCGAAATGCCGCCACTGTTTTCATCTTCCATGGAACCCAGCCCCTTGGAAGTACGTTTATGTATATGTATCTCCTTGGGAAGGCTGGGCTGGTGATTTTGCCACTCTGTAGTCTGACTGCAGGTGAGGAGCATGGGAGCCATGCAAGCTGTTGAAACCTGCTGCTCTTATTTAACTAGGAGGGTAGACTTCGCCCATTTCTGCAGGGTATGTTGTGAAGCCTCACTTCGCCCGACAAATCAGATGTAACTGGTATGAGAGCTGTGCCTCTGACTGGAGTGCAGACAAGTGCTTTGCTCATTAAGCAGGCTAGAATTTTATCTTTCTGATTCTTGGTAAACACTCAGATATTCCTCTGGAAATCTCGTGCTTTTATAACCGTGCTAGTTAGGCCAATAATGGTTGTACGGGTTTCTAGGGGTTTTTTTTAATGTAAATGTTTAAAATTTTAATTCCTATTCAGCCTTACACAGCACTCCAGAGTTGAACCTTTCAACCTTTACCTTGTGCTGAGGAGGGGGAAACATCTGTATGTAATTAAGCTGCTGGTCAAAACCCAATCTATTTCAGTGCTACATATTGCACATACTTCAGTTGCAGATTCATTTCAAATGCTCACCATTGGCTGTGCAATTTATTTACTGGTTTTCACTATTGCCATTAAGCATGTGTTAGAATCAACAAATGCTTGGTGTACGCTGCCAAACAAGTAGCAGCTTTTCAGTACTAGTGTATAAAATACACACAGCTGACCCTCCAGGTGATACGTCTCCTGTTTCATCTTCCAGCTGACAAAGTGTTGCTGTACCTTCTGGAAATGTGGATGTTTAGAGGTTGTTTATCATCTTGCCAGCCTAAAAAAAAAAACCTTTGCTGTGGAAGCAATTGTTAATGCATGGTTCTCTGCATGATGTTATGTGCACAAATTTGTACCCAAACTTAAGGTTCACTGTTCCTTACTACGGTATGTTTGAAGCTCTTTCATCCTTGGAGTTGAACAAAATGGTGCCACTCTGAAATAGAGTCTATGTGCAGCAGTCTTGATCTAAATCAGTCTGTTTCCACATCACACCTGCTGTTTTTGCTCCAGGGCCTTATTTGAAAATGTTTCCTTATCCTTTTTGAAATAAACACCTGAAGTCATTAGACCTGTGCTAATCTATGCATCTCATTCTGCAATTCTGTAAATAGACCTAACCGGAGTTGCAGGCAAATCACAGATGGCAAAGCCCAGGGCTAAAATGTGTAAACCTTAGAGAGGAAGAGTGTTGCTGATGATGGCTTTCAGCAAACAGTTGTTCTCATCGAGTACCACCTGACATTGGGGGGGGATGCTGGGACAGAGAAACTCTCTGGTCATCCAACGAATCTTTTCCTTTTTTTTAAATAGGCTCAATTCTTTTGATGTACCATGAATTAGCAGTGAGCAAGGCAGCGTTTTAATTTTGTCTTTCCTCCAGCACAGTATCATACTAAGAAAACTCAGACAAAGTTTGTATGTGGCTTTGGGCCTTGGTTTGCAGGCTGTTCACATAAAAAAATCGCCAATTGAAACTCAGTATTTGTGTCACGTGGAAGGAAAGACTTCGGGTTTGCCTATTTCAAGCAACACAGAAAACCCCATTCATTTCTTTTGTCAGTTTTATCCTGACTGAAATGACTTCAGCCAGCTGCTTCATGTGTCTGTTTCTCACTCACATTTTCATGATCTTGCATCTGAACTTAACCGTAGCTTAGATTACTACTTCCAAAAGTTGGGAAAAACCTTTTTCATTTACTGAACACAGTAAAGTATAACTAAATGCTCTGCCTTTTCTTTCTTGCCTGTGCTTTCAGGATGGAGGCAGCCTCGTGGGAGAAGTGAACGAAGAAGGGGAGATGACTGGAGAGAAAATAGCCTATGTGTACCCTGATGGAAAGACTGCGTATTCTGGAAGGTTCATAGATGGAGAAATGATAGAAGCAAAACTGGCAACTCTGACATCTGTAGAGGATGGGAAACCTCAGTTTGAAGTAGTACCAGGCAGTAAGTCCAGCTAACGCAGAAATTTGTATTCTCGCTACAAGCTCTTCGCTGCCAACAGCTTAGTTACTATAATGTTCCCTATTAGAGACTCTAAAGGCTGGCTGCGATGAGATAATAAGTCTATTAGTGAGAAGCCCCTTTTCTAAATTATAGAGTTGGGCAGAAAGGCACGTGGAGCCATCCCTTTGGGACAAAAGGGGAAGTGACCCATGCGGTGGTGCTGCTGAATCGCATTTCGTAACCGTAACCTTTCTCTCGCGTGCTCCTGGGCGCAGTCCTGCTCCTGGCACAGCAGCGTTGCCATCTGTGCCAGCGTGAAAACCTGCTTAACCGTGCTAATGCTGGCACAAGTCACAGGCTTTGTTTTGTTAGTAAAATAGCTAAAAGTGGAGAGGGAGGCTGTGGTTTGGTTGTAGCTCTGCCAGTTGGGTTTGTGCAAGCGAACGTTAGCGCTGTGAATGTTCTGGCATCGGTGTGACGGGGCTGAAAGGGCACAGGGGCTGGAATTAGTGGACTAGATTCAGTCGTTGTGTAACAGTCTGATTCACCAGCACCCCTCAGTCTCTCTAGTCCTGCTGATAGAAAGTGGCTGTGAAACGGTTGGGGTGAGGGTGCTGCCGTTGGCCCACGTAGCCAGTGCTCCTTCTCCAGGGCAGGGGTGCCTTGGGCCCGTAGTTCTGGGGTAGTTTTGTTGCTCGGAGGTGTACGTGATGTTTTGGAGGTGAGTGGGTTAAGCTGAGGGCAGGGCCATGAGTAATAATAAACAGTGACTATGCTAAAGCATTTAGTGTTTTGCCAGCAAAGATTGTCTCAATTGATATGAAATAAGAACATAAAACTCAGTGGAAAGGCGTTGAGAAGCAAATGCATGTGACTTTTTATTTTTTAAATCTCTCGGTTGTGATAGCAAATCAAAATGTAACTTAAAAGATAGCTTCTGAGAGGGTACAGTTGTGCTTTGTAAACAGGATTGAATTATACTCTGGAGGAAGCTGCCTTCAGCCAGAACAGACCTTGGACACCAGGGACAACGGGCTTTTATCAAACTTTGTAATATTGTGGTTTGGGGTTTTTTCCCATCTTGCTTCCACCTGCATCTTAACCTGTCTCCCAGATGGTCCTCTGGCAGTTGATTGTAGAGGGATGTAAGGATATAATTAGAGCTGTATCACTGAGTTGCTTATTAATGGCAGGAAATAAATGACTGTAGCAAGTGTACTTTGTGATTACTGAACACTATCTTCTGGCTGAAGTCTCTTCAGGATTTGGACTAGAAAACATTTCATGCTTGAAATAGTCCAAGTTTTTTTATAATTAATGTGTTATTGAATATATAATTTTAAATTTTGCTTTACTTTTTAATTAGAGACTCTGGGAGGGTCAGTTTTGAAAGACTGTTCCAGTCCTTCTTTAAAAGTTGGTAGTTTGAATAACATATATATCACCTTTTTGTGATAATACTGCTACTCTAGTATGTTGAGCAGAAAAAATAATCAAGAAACAGTATCTCACTGAAGACTTCTTACAGGTGCAGTTCTGTTTAATACGTTTTTTTGGAAGCATAACATTTATTTCTTGCAGTCATTAAAATCTAATTTTTGAATGTCTTGATTAAGTTAAGGGTTGCATGCTTTCAGTATTGCCAGTTAGTTTATTTCCTTTGTTGATTTCTGTTTTTTTAGGCCCAGTATACAGTTTTGACAAATCTACTTCATCCTGCATTTCTACAAATGCACTTCTTCCTGACCCTTATGAGTCAGAGAGGTAGGCTTTTTTTGTGCTCCCCCCTTTCAGTATTGTCCTTATTTCTTTGCTGTTACATCTTTAGGACCTAATTTTGCAAACCTTTTCTCATGCAAAATTAGAAAAAGCGTGTAAGGGTTTGTGAAATGGAACCCGTTACTGCACATCAGTCAGCGTTTGACTTGTGCGAATCAGAAAGAAATTCAATCAATCAAGTTGCACTCTAGTGGATAGAACACAGCAATACTTTTTCAGAGATTAAACTAGGATCATTTCTTAGCATTTCAAAGACATTCAGTCAAGTCCTGGACTCCAATAATAGCCCACATCTACAACATTCTGACCAAAAAAGTACGCTGTTCCCTATTTTCTAGATGTGTGACTAGTTTCAGGTTGCAGTGTGCTGCATTCGATGTGTCTCGCTGGATGGCATGCGCTGTACAAAGTTTTCTCCCCTCCCTACAGATGTAGCAAAGTGGCAAGAGTAAATCATCAAGCTAGAGGAAAGTGAGATACTGTTTGTGACAAGCCTGTAATGTCAAAACATGTTCCTCAAGCAATTGTCTTACCATAGTCAGTCAGTGATACCTCTTCCATGGCTATGCCGCAATTACACTTTTTACCTAGAATTTTTTAAGAGGCCTTGCTCTGTAGATATCTTGGTTGTAGTCCTTTTCTGATACTTTGAAATATCTAAATGAGTGATTAGTAAAATGCTGGCATTAATTTGCATCAAGTGCTTGAAGATCTAGGGCTTCACCTTAAACTCTTGCCCAGTGGAGTAATAATCTGTGCATGTACACATCAGCAATCTCAGCTTAGTGGGGACCTCTGGGATTCTGGTATGTTATTGAGGGTGTTTCAAAGTTGAAGCCATCATTGTGGAGTAATAGTAGATTGGCACTTAAAAAAAAAAAAAAAAAAAATCAAACTGATAGATAAAGTCAGCCCCCACTTCCCACCAAATCTTCATTTTGTGAAAATAGAGGGAACGTGTGGAAGAGAGGAAGGAGAAGGAGCTGCAATTGGAGGTTTTGAATTATTATTATTATTAGTTTTATTATTATACTGAAGTATTAGTCTTTATGCCAGTAGTGTTGTGATAATAATTCTTGAAAATGAAAACTGCAGCCAATCACTAATCCCATGCCCTTTTCCCCTTGTAGGGTGTATGTTGATGTCTCTCTCATTTCCAGTGCTGGAGAAGGGTTATTTTCGAAAATAGCAGCAGAAGCCAGTACAGTTATGTCCTTTTATAACGGAGTGCGAATTACACACCAGGAGGTAAAGGAGAGAAAAAAGTCAGTCTGAATTTTCATTGCTCATTCTGAAATCTTATAAGTAGGATTTTACACCCACCCCCTCCCCACCCTTAGGATTTAATATGATGGAGTTTAATTGAAATAAAGTGCATGTTCACCTAGTTATACGTAAAAAAAAGTGGTGGTTGGTTGTTTTTTTTAAATGACGTACAGGAAAAGCTTTAGTTGCATATATTTGAATGTTTGCTTTCAAACTGCTGGCAAAGTTGACCCCTACACACACACACACACTGGATTTTTGCCTTGCAAACTAGGTAGACGGCAGAGACTGGGCCCTCAATGGAAATACAATATCCCTGGATGATGAAACAGTCATAGACGTGCCAGAGCCCTACAACCACGCCGCCAAGTACTGTGCCTCGCTGGGGCATAAGGCCAACCATTCTTTCACTCCCAACTGCATCTATGACCCGTAAGTAGAGTCCCGTGTTTCGGGGTGGAAGCTGCAGCCCGGCAGTCTGGGCTCGCAGGGTGTTTCTGGGCAGCCGAATGAGGAGCAGCCGGTGGGGCTGGGAGTAACAGGTCCAGGCACTGACCTGGAGTTCCAGCTCACCTGGGCAGAGTTGGAAACCGGCTGGCATTGCGGTTGCTTGATGTCTCTTGCAATTTACACCATGGAGTATCTTGAAGTTTGCAACTGTCTTAATTTTGTTACGAACTTTAGGAGCTGCCTCTTGATTCTGAAATGCATAAGCACGGCTCTCTAAATCCTAGCTTGGCTAGGACCGCACCGTATTTGCTGAACTACTTGACCAGCGCTATCGATGTGCTGTCATTTCTGAAACTCGTAAACCAAGCATCTTGCTGGTCTGCAGCTGGTGCAGAGCACTAGGAAACTTCTGATGTATACATATGTCCAAGGGTATAAATATTTTCATACCAACATATATCTCCACAGCTCTGTCCATTTAGGTATGTAGAAAATAGTTTTCCTTCATTAAATAAGCCAGTTCCCTTTACTGTGGGACCCTGGGAAAAGAGGTACAGAAGTATGTTATGATTGTTCGGTAGGTAACCTGTACTAAGGAAATTAAGATGAGCAATTTTCCGTGCTCTCCAGTCTGTCATAATCTATACTGTTTCTCCTGTCATGCAGCTGTTTACCTCTGCAAGCCCAAGGCATGTGGCAATGGTTAACTTTATTTATTACAAACAAGCAATGTTGCAGGGCAGTTGGAAAACTTCAAATAATAGAGCTACACAAAGCTGCTTTAATGTATTGATATTTTTGCCCTTATTACTTAAAGTCTTTATAAGGTTGACTCAAAGCAATCTAGTCATCTGATGTCAGATTATGTGATATTACTCTGAACTGTGAATGACTTCTGAAACTGTAGAAGGGGCTAACAGAGTCTGTGAATTGATGGCTAAGCCTAGCAAAGGTGTTTTATTCTTTGTCTAGGTTTGTTCATCCTCGTTTTGGGCCTATCAAGTGTATCCGTACCATCAGGGCTGTGGAGAAGGATGAAGAGTTAACAGTGGCTTACGGATACGATCACAACCCCGTTGGGCAAAATGGGCCAGAAGCACCGGAGTGGTACCAGCTGGAACTGAAAGCTTTCCAGGCTGCCCAGCAAAAGTGAAATGGGAGCTCCTTCTCCGTTCAGCAAACTGAAATAGAAACTTGGATCTATGCACTACCTTTATACTGAAAACTGGACAACCAGGGATTGTTCATGCTGTTGCATCATAACTTTGCATTCTGTGTTAAGAGATAAGTTTCTTGCATACTAACTAGGTTTGACTGTGTTACTCATAGCAGATTTAAAATTAGCTATTGTTGCACCAGTCTTATCTGGAGAAATTATTTAATATTCTATACGAGACGTGATATTCTTTGGTAGCTTCTGCTTTTGCACCATATGCAAAGATGCCAAAAGACTAGACAGAAAACTAAAATGGGTATATCGTTCACTTTTAGTCGGCAGACTTAGTGTTGCTCTCTATCTGCCTAGGCATTATTGTGCAACTGCATTTTGCATATATGCCACTTGTGATGATAACAGTAATATTTTGATATTCTCTAATAGTAGCATAATTTTGCCTTTTTAAACCTTTGATCTGAATCTTGCAATAGAGCAGTTTATTTATTAGCATATAGGAGGCTGGGTTTTAACTCCCCTTTCCTCTTGTCTGAACGTTGTTCTTTCTACAAATCCTCTTTTGCAGGAGAAAATCCTTTCTAACTAGTGGAAAGGCTTGTGTGTGTATGTGAGAGTGCTGTGTGTTGGTCTCTGTGGCTCTCTAAATAGTATAGCAACATGTCCAAACCTAATATTTATCTAGCCTTTATGGCTGGCTTATTTTATTTAATTTATGATTATGACACGCAAATGAAGCCGTTCTTTGCATGAAGATTTTCTGAAAGGAGAAAACAGATTCACTTTTTGAAGGACTTACAGAAGTACATGTTGTTGAAGGCAAGCACTTTACTTGCATTAGTGTTCGTGAGCTGGTTTGTGTATTTCACCTGTTAAAGCGGCCAGTTCTCAAGGCAAAAGTTCTAGCAATGAGATGCTTGCATCTCACGTGAATTCTCTTAAAGGAGGCGTATGTATTTGAGGGCAGGCTGTAGTACTTGGTTAAGGAGAGCTGTATCTTTTGTATGTGTTCAGTTGACAAAGAATATAGCCTTGTAGTCGTCTTTTAGTAGTACTGGTTTAAGACAATAAATTAATATAGTATGAGATATCAAAATAAGAATTAAAAAAAAAAGATACGAAAAGATTGTTTTTGAAAGACAAACAATGAATGTAAAAACATCTCTCACTGCTCATATTTAGAAACAACAGTCAATCCATAGCTTTGTTGCAGCCAACAGTGGGGGCTTGTGAATATACATCTGCAGGGCTGTGTTCTGGGGTTTTTCAGGGGTAGGGAAATTGTTGTGCATTTTTTTTCAGATACTGTACTGGTCTTGCCTAATGCTGTATAAGAGAGAAATAATGTATCATCTCGGTCTGGATACTGGAGCCCTTCTGGGACTCTGAAGCTCTCTTTTGGGTTTAGCAGCTTAGGAAAAACTCAAATGGATTTACAACACTTTCTTTAAATGTTTGTAGTTTAGAAAAGTTTGTATATATGTAACATAAATGATTTGGAAATCAGACCTACCTTTCTATTGCAACACATTTTGGTTGGTTGCTTGAACGGTTGGAGGTGTCTGGCTTTCTGCAGAGCTGGACACGGAGAGTATGTTGGGTTGGTACCTGCAAGTGGAAGGATGAGGTTGCTGTTTTGTGCAGTCTGAGAACCCTTGCTTTGGTACCTGTACAAAGTTAGGAATTATTAATAAGAACCTCTGTAACGTGGGGCTCTGTTTAGTCCCTGTGACTGGTCACAAACCTTTTTCCAGCACCTCACCATTTAAGCTCGCACAAAAGCTACTCTGTGCATGTGCTGGGCGGGGGACAAGCAGGCTCAGGGCTTTTTTTGACACTCTTCCAGCGGTGATCTGAATGTGAGCTTTGACATCACCCATCTCCTCACGCTGGAGACTTCAGGCCACGGCTCCGCTTCTCATCCAAGGCAGGTGGCTGGCAGAGGTGACAGCTCAGGGACTCGGCTGAGTATGCAGAGACAGAACTGAGCCTCACAGGTGAGGGAGAGTCGTCAAAGGCTGATTGGCAGCACAGCTTCAGCAAATGAACCTCGAAAAGAAATACGCGTGTCTTGATCTTTCCCTCCCTGCCCACAGGTCGTTGTTTTAGATCATTGCTGTTTCAGCCATTTGCAGAAAAGCGTGCCTCTCCGGTAGGAGGCTGTCGTGTGCACCCTGTGGATTATTCTGCCAGGACCATGAAGTCTGCAAACTTGAGGCTTGTGTTTAAGAGCAGGGAAGTGGAGAGGGAAGATACGTGACTGAACCCTGCTGTGAATGGATGGTGGCTCCTTCCACAGTCTTGATAACCTGCTTTGGACTGCTGGCCTCTTCGTGCCTGCTAGAGAACTGTGCTTAAAATGTTCTAATCTCTAGAGCTCCTTTGGCTTCATTCCTGATCGGTCTCCGATCCCTCTGCTATCTCCTCTTTGTGTGGAGTCGCTTATGTTTTAATAGACTTGTCAGCCTTCATATTGCCTGATTTTTGAGATAAATACAGGATAGGTGCTCTTTGCACATCAGGTTTGAAGGTTGCATTCTAAAATGGGGAAATTCTAGGGGAAAAAAAGGCACTGAGGTATCCTCTGTGTGTTCTCAAAAGCCATTAGTTTGGTGACAGTCAAGCGGATTCTCTTGCTCTTGCTTATGCTTGTAGCCTGGTAGTATGCCACAGCTGTGGCTATTGTCTCTGTTAGCTCTACTGTCCTTTTTCTCTCTGCTCTGTTAAAATCTGTTGGTCCTCCTATAGATCCCTTCTTCAGTGACCAACCTTCTATAAAAGTCGTGATTATAAAGCTGCTTCGGCTTGATTCAGGACCAAGCCTTTTAATTCTTTGTTTTCTTTTTCTTTGTGGTCTGTTCGAGTGGAGATGGTTGGGGTGGTTTTTACCACTGGGTAGCGAAAGGGCTCAGGGCTCCGTGTGTCCTTCAGAGGTTTTTTGAGAGGTGTGCGTTGGCAACCACAGGTTCAAACACAAGTTAGTTACATAACTCCAAATAATGCCTTAACTTGGTCAACGTATTGCAGCTCAGCTTCTGGGGCTCACTAGACAGCGAGACCAGCTCAGTAAAACTATTTATCGGTAGTAACGCGAGACCCACACCAAAACATGGTTTTGAGTTGGAGCAGAGGAAGCAGTCATTTTGCAAAGCAATCCATTTGAGCCTGTTGAAAGCAGCTGACTGTTGGTGAATATGCAATAAGTAAAGAAGCTCCACTTCTCAGAGTCTGGCCAAAGACCTGTCCTGTCAGCACAGAAAACAGCCTGTCAGCTGAGCCTGGGTGAGCAGCCGGCTCTCGGAGTACCCGTTGTGACTAAAGAATGGCATAAGAGAACCTGGAATTGCTGCTTTTTCCAGGTACGGCTCAGTTCCCAATGTCTGCCTTTGGTCTGCAGTGCTGCACGTGGCTCCTCTGTGATGGGAGGGTTGTTACCTGAGCTGCTTTATGAGAAGGAGCCTGTATCAGCCTGTACTAAAGGCTGCTGATTGTCTCTCTTTAAAAAAAAAAAAAAAAAACAACCACAAAATCTTAAATGGATCTTCCTGCTACGGCAGCACTGTTTTTTGTCACCAAGAATACAGAAGCTTAGTTTTCTGGAGGACCGGTTGATCTTGGAGACAAGAGAGCATGAGAAGTTACAGCTGAGAGCTACCTGCTGCTGGGTCACTCCTCTGGATAAGAGGGAAAAGGGCTTAGGCCTAGAGGGGGTGTCTCAAGTTGAGTCTCGTGCTATAATTTTACTTTTTGGGATCTACTAAAATACCTGATTTTTCCTTCACAAATCTGAAAAGGCTTTTTTTCCTTTTTTTTTTTGTAATAATTAAGAAAACCTTAACCTACATAAATACATATAAGCCTTACTGTTGAAAAAGTCAAAGGAAATACATGGATAAGGCTCTTCAGCGATCAGAGGGAGAGCTGTGATAGCTTTTTGACTTTTTCCACAGTTGCAACAATACCTGCTAGGATGGCCCGTGCTTTTGCCCAGATGCAGCAGCTCCTGGGTGACTCGTGCAGGTTTCGAGACCTTTGGGAGGCCGGTTGCTCGGCCTTGGGAGGCTGCGTGTTTTGGGAGCCACCAGGTGGTCTTTCTAGTTCAGCCTTTTCAGATGCGGAGCTTTCGGTGTTGCACGCAGTTGGCAGTGGCGGTGGTTTCTTTCCCGGGGCTGTTGTAGTACGTTGCTGGTGTGGAAGCGAGAGTGCCATCAGGGATTTCTCACCCTCTGCCAGGCACTGGAGGAGCAGAGTAGCCAACGTATCCCATCTGGTCCGAGAAACTGAGAAGCGGTGGAAATTGCCGCTTCTCTCTTCCCAGTTGGCTGCCCTTGTCCTTTAGTTGAAACCGGTGCTCACCGCTTGGTGAACTGTGCAGTGTCACTTCTGTCCCAGAGACCTCTCTGATTTCTATCCTTTCACTGGATTTAATAGTCATTTTGGAAAATGCTGCCGTTGCGATGAGGTAACGAGTTGTACAGAGCCGGTTATCTGCTGCTTTGTTTTCCTCTGGCACAGCAGAATTGCTGGAGCTGTGGGTGCCTGAGGAATTCACCTCCAAGCACTTAAAAAAAAAAAAACCAATTGCTTTGAAAACAATGTTGCTGAAGTGTCTCCTTATATGCTGGGGTGCTGCATTAGACGCCTCTTCCTCACACTGCACTGTCGTATGCTGAGAGCATTTGGGCGAGGAACGCAGGCGTGGGAGCAACTTTACCTGTGGGTATAAGTGGGCTTCACGCTCACCTGCGCCCCGGGGAGAACTTGTTCCTTTTGCTTTGTGTACTGGAAACATGAGAACTATATTTTTGGACAAAGCATTTCTAAGCAGTCTTATAAGGGATTATTTTTTTTTAAAAAAAAAAAAAAGGTGCAAGATTGAGTGCATGTTTACTTGCCCCAGATCAAAGGTTTTGAACACTAAGGTCACTATCTGTTGAATGGACCCTCCTCTTAGCCCTCTTCTGTCTTCAGGCAATTGAAGCTCCTGCCCTCTTTCCTTACCAGTTTTACTGTAACTACTTTTTTTTTTTCCAGGAGAAATATATATACAAAAATTCTAAGCAATTAAATGTTCAAGCCATAAAATCATGAGTGTGGGAAGACCCTCTTCACAAGTTTTAACATATTTGTATGTAAAATGATGTTTGTATGAAATATTTTCATGGTAGAATGAATATTTAAAAAAAAAAAGTTCCAGTAAGATCTAAACCAAATTTAAAAGGGTGTTTTTTTGTAAGATGCGAGTGTTATCAATTACAAATAAGTAGATACCTTTTTTTTTTTTTTTTTTAAAGCGGAGATGCAACAAATGATCTTTACAATTACAAATGGTCATTTCTGCTATTTGGGAGAGTATTTATGCAGCGTTACACATGGCTGTCATAAATAATTGCAATAGCAAGGCCAGTCACCTCTTCAGGACATACCTCTCAGCTTGTCCCTCTGTGATACTGTACCATCGTTCCTTTCTGCAGATTTCCTCCTAGAAAACTTTTCCTACTGTAACTGTACTGAATTTAACTCTTGAGCTAAGATCCAGACTAAAATTGTGTATTACTTACAGTTTCTGCTGGGCCTTCTGCTATTTTAATACTCTTTAGCCCATAATTACTGGGTGTCTCTGTTCTGAAGAACTAAGTGCTAAAGAATAATCCTTGGGGTAAGCTTATACGTGTGTTAACAGTTAACCCCGGAGTATTTAACTTGTATACAGTACTTGATAGGTGTTTTATGACATTTGTACTCGAACTATGAGCCTTACTGAACATCTGTAGGTTTATTCATGACTTTTAAAAAATGGATAACTCTAAGAAAGATGTTTACATGAATGATGATTGCCCTTCCTTTGACGTTATGAATGAGGTTTTTATAGTGTGTTTGGGTGTATGTGCAAGGAAGTAAGAAAAATGCTTCTGGGGAAAAATAGACTTGACAAACATTTGTAATAAGTGAATTTTAAAGACTGCTTTAATTGCGCTATGAAGGCAATGCAGATATTAAAATATTCAACAGAACTGTCGTCTCTCCTTGTTATTTGTGTGTCACTGTTTTGGGCATACTCTCATCTCTCCCCCTTGCTTGTGTACTGTGTGGTTGTTTTGCAGCTGCGGTTATTGCTGATGCATGGGAGCAGGGTTTGTAGCACGGTTAACGCGCTTCTAGGCCGTATTATATTAATAGTGAACGAACAGCAGAACACTCCTAACGCCGCTGCCTTGTGTTTTTTTTTCTGGCACCTCTGCTGCTTTTGTTACTCGCTTCTCTCTTCTCAGTGCACATACATGGGCTTTAGCAGTGTTGTGGTACAGAAGAACATCCTGCCTGCGTGTGTATGCCCAAGTGTCTTTAATAGTTATATTTTAAAACACATGAACACGCACTGGTGTATTTTTCTCTTGCCATTGCTGACTCTGGGGCAGTAGGAAGGCATGGCAGCAAGGAGCAGCGGTGCCTTCCAGGCAGGTAACCTCCTCCTCTGTCCCCTAATTAATTAGCTGTAGGCATCCTGGTGGATGGGTGGTGAGGAAAGGGGCATGGGCATTGCTTCGGTGCCTGCCCTGCCCTCCTCCGTGATCTCTGCAATTGCTGTGGTGGCTCACGGCCTCTCGCACCCGAGTGTAGGTGGAGAAGGGGCTTGTTCGGCCTTGCCCACTGAACCTTCACAGTCCCTAAAGCTCGAAAGGATGAGTGCTTGCTATGTATCGGCGTTCTCTCCAAATCGAGCGGGGTGGAAGATGACCCTCGGGTTGTGGATGCTGCGGTGGGCGGCTGGCTTCACCCAGCCTGGCTGCGTTCCCGTCCGAGACTGGTGTTGCAGTCGAGGTGCTGTGGGTTTATTTAAAGAAATGATAGCCAGCCCAGGAACTGACTTCTCGAAAACATTTGAAGGGTAGTAGGCATGCTGTAGTGCAGTGCTTGGTAGGGCCAGATTTGGCCGCAGGCGCTCGGGTGGGTTCTTGTGCTTTCTTCCCACGGGGAGCGAGGGCACCGACGTGCCCGAGGAGCCCTTGCCCGTCAATCTAAACAAGCTGATCCACACGAGTCACTAACAGTAGAGGGAGAGAGGGTTTCCCCAACTCAGAGCACGGCAAAAAAAAAAGGCAAAAAAAAGTTCCGTAGAAAACGGGC